CACACCTTTCTTTGACATTAGTCGAGAAAAGTAATGTTTGTGTGGTTGAAGATAAGTTTCTTCAAGAATCATCAAAAAGTTGAAATTTTAGTTACTCTCAATGAATCATGCTTCATTACATATATATTCAGTTAGTTATAAAATAAAAAAGTTTGATAACTTTTTTCGACTTAACTATAAACAACAGAATTGTTTAAAATATTTCCTTGAAATGTTGCATTTTAAATATTTGGCGAATGAGCCGATATCATGCGACAATATACACTACAGAGGCAGTTTCATAGATAAATCACCTATTATTATTGTTTTGTCAATAATGTGCAATAAATACCTACATTATTATTGAGTTATCTTTTACCGTCACACAATTACAACACCCGAAAAAAAAATAATGATGTTATTCCATCAACACAAAAATCACTTTTGCAGCGTACATATACTTACCTGGCTTCAAAATTATTCAATAATCTTCCAAATATCATAAAAAACAATAATATATTTCACCATTTCAAAAGGTCATTATATGCTGACAGCCAAGACGAATGATTTCTGATTCTGTTGACAAAAAAAAATTGAAATAAAGTTTTTATTAATGTAAAAAATTTGTGAAAGAACAAAATTGTTATAACTTTACAATAGAACCTCATATTATATATTAGTACATCAGGATTGTCCATTTCATCTCATTTATTTATTATAATTTCTAACACACCGCTTATACCATTTGTGTCATTTAAATGTCATACAAACAATCTTATACCACTCACACGCATAAACCATTGTATTAATTTACAGGTACACATTCATATGCATGTGTGAGAATGATTTGTAAATATTCATTTTTAGATTCAGACAAGTCTGATACTCATCGGATTTTTTCATATTTCCGCAATTGTCAGTCAGTATGTTTATTATTTATAAGTTTTATTGCATTGTATTTCCTCGAAACCAGTCGAGTACTCATTTATTTACCTCTTGGCGCTTGGCGGGTCACTGATTGTTTTTATGTGATGCACGGCATTACAAGAAAATAAATGGAGTCCAATCATGTCCACCAAAGATTTTAAAATCCTCGTTAAAAAGACATGTTACTTCTGACCCCTGTAACAACGTGCCCCTCGCTCCCCTACTGGTCTGTGTAGATGTCTTTGCTGTTAATACTTACACCCTGATGTGTTTACAATTTCTCACCAATATGATAATTCGGTACACATGAGAAATAAATTCTCTCTCGCACAATATACTAATATGATTTATTTTATATCCTTTGTTAATGAGAAACTCACAATATCTACAAATTTCATGTAGTCCAAATAACTACTTACGTTCTTTACAAACGATCATTCTTCTATCGACTTCCCTAACGGGTTTCCCTGAAAATGATTTTCTGTTAATGAAATTGAAAAGCAAGCAAATATTCAATGTTTTCATTTTTTTGTAAAGAACATGTCAATTGTGAAAGGAAATCAATGACATTTAGTGACCAAATCAAAGTATAATGCTTGGTCAAGTTCAAATTAAAAACCATTATCAAAATTTAATTTCATTCGAGTCTGAGTAAAAGCTTTTTAGTTTTCACTTTTCCATCTTTATACAAAAAAATTATAGTTTCCGACACACGTTCATAAAGTCCACATTTGGTGGCGGTGCCGGGATAAGTGATATCGAAATAACAGTTTTTGAATACTTCTTGAATAAATAAAACAAATAAAATCAATTCAATGGATTGATACATCGACTAGCAATAGAAGAAGTGGATGAATTGATCACCTCGTGAAGACAAACATGATTTTTCGTTGTGAAGGAGGTAACTGTGAAGTAAAAAAAATCTGAAGTGAAGGTGATTTGAAATGAAAGTGATTCGAAATGAAGGTGATTCGAAATGAAGGTGAAGAGGATAAATGTGACCTCCAAGGGAAATTAAGCGATCGTATGGCATACAAGAAGTATGCGATTTTGAATCTAGAGTAAAAAAAAANGCTCGTGCTGATCCTTAGAAATCGCAAATAATGCTATCGTGATATCAAGGTAGCAAGGTGACTTAATAAATTATATACTTTACCTTTGATCTTTACAGAATATTTATTTGAAAATGTTTCTCTATATCCAAGGTTCAGCAATTGAATAGCAACTAAATATTCTGTAAAGATCAAAGGGAAAGTATATAATTTATTGAGTTACCTTGCTACCTTGATATCACGATAGCATTGTTTGCGATTTCTAGGAATCGGCACGAGCAACAAAATCGTTGTTTTGGCAACTAATTAGCTAAAAATTGATGTATTTTTTTGCAATTTTGCTGGATTCGCCTTGCTAGCCTAATAGTCGCTGCATTTCTGAGATATAAGCCGTTGAAGTTCAAAAAAACGGTATTTATGAAATATCGCAAATATCCTCACACCGATTTGGTTGAAATTTGCTACAATTAATTATTAGAAGTTAGGCGCTTATTCAGCCAGAACTAGATTGAAATAATTAGGTCCAGTGGAGTCTCAGTAGGCACCACAACCCACAATATTGGGGAAAGAGTACGCCTCTAAAAAATACAACTTTTTTGTCCCTTGTATTTTTTTCATGTCTAGCTTGGTCTTCGAGAAAAAACACTTTGCATATCATGAACACCTGTTTTGGAGACCAGCTGACAGTGATAGTGTTGTCATATCAGTGGAAGTCAGAGTTGTCAATTAGCAGTGACTCCATCGTGAATAATTTTTCAAAATAGCTGGAATGGCTGACATGCACTTTATTTATGGATTCGCAAATCCACGGAGAATTTACCAGGACAAATATATTAACAGAATAATTTTGTTTAATTGGTATATGTTGTTGACAAAAAATATTTAAAATGAAGTTTTCATCAATGTGTGAAAGGACAAACTTGTTATTACCTTACAATAAAACATCATATTACATATTAGTACATCAGGATTATCCATTTCACCTTATTTATTTATTATAATTTCTAACACACCGCTTATACCATTTGTGTCATTTAAATGTCATACAAACAATCTTATACCACTCACAAGTATCAACCATTGTATTAATTTATAGGTACACATTTATATGCATGTGTGAGAATGATTTGTAAATATTCATTTTCAGATTCAGACAAGTCTGATACTTATCGGACTTTTTCATATTTCCGCAATTGTTAGTCAGTATGTTTATTATTTATAAGTTTTATTGCATTGTATTTTCTCGAAACCAGTCGAGTACTCATTTATTCACCTTTATCTTCTTACTATATTGCTCTGTATTCTTCTTTCCAACGTAAATAAATATTATTATTATTGAATATAAGGATTTATCTTGTTTTTGAACAGAGCGATGGTTTTATTGCACTACAACAAGATTTTATTCATTTATTTTTTATTTATTTGAAAATAGGAAATCCTAATATGAATACAAGTCCAAAAAGGTAAAAATGGTATATAAAAAATATTAAAATGGTAGACAATGCTTGTGAAGTTGTCAATACAGATATAAATAGATTTGTTGAACTGGCAACGGACCATTGTTTATTTATAAATCCTAGCAAATCGAATGTAATGATCTTCGGCCCAAGGTATCATCGTTCCATTGTGACTAACTCTGCAAATTTCTGCATTCGAAATGAACCATCAGATATTGTTAGTGAAGCAAAAAATCTTTGTGTTTTGATAGATGTAGAGCTGAGATTTGAAAAATTCATAAATAAACTGTAACAACGTGCCTTCTCTGCACTGACAATTATATCTATGGCAATAGACATATTCTGCCTTACCATGTAAAAAATCTTTATGTGAATCCTTGGTACATTCGGATTTCAACTATGGTGATGTTCTTTATGGTCCATGTTTAACCAATAAATACAAAAATAAAATTCAAAAAGTTCAAAACTCGTGCCTTAGATTATTCTTTGGTATTGGTCGGCGACAAAGGATCTCATATAAACTTCAAGAAATTGGGTGGTTGAACATGGAGTAATCTTTAACGTGGTATGGTAATTGGTTGAAATCATTCAATCCTTTGGAAAACAACGATTTCATAGATTGCTTTGTTCTCGTCCTGGAAATGTGGAATTGATTGGTGGTTCTTGTGTTGTAGTCATGAATTTGATTATTGTACGTAATGAAGGAATCAAAATATTTTGGTGATAAATTTCTGGTTATTTTATAGATAAATATCATTCTTGAGTAATACAGTCTATCTGCCACATCATACTAGTTGAGGGCACTCAGCATGCATTGATTGGGAGTTCATCTATTACATTTTAAGATGATTCTTAAAACCTCGATTTTGCAGTTTCTGTATATTGCTTTTATCTAAAAGATAAAGCAAGCAGAGGTGAATAATAATCAAAATGGGGCTGTATAATGGTTCTGTATATTGTTATTTTTGAAAACATGGAAACTTCCGATGAAATCCTGGAGAAAAAAAATAGTTTATTTGATATCTTTTTAGATATATTTGATCTGTGTATTAACACATTAGCTATGGTATTGGTTTATTTTTCTAACGATGAATGAATTGAAATTCCAAAAGAAAACTACGATGAGATTGTTATCGATCCGACTATATTTTTTTTTTTGAAATTCCTAGACACCAGTTTGTACCATTCCCCAATTTATGACCACAATACTAAGCCTTACTTATTGATTAGAACATTTTCACTTTACAAAAATAGTAGAAATATTTTGAATATCTGCATTTTTGTTCATCAGTGAATGTTCTTTGATAGCCGTTACTATGTGGTAGGAGTTCATCATGAAAAATTAGAAAGAAAACTTTCTAAGTTGTTTGACCACTTTCATTTGTAACTAATGTAACTGCAGTTTCGTCCTACAAGAACAGTACGATAAATTGTTTGAAAATGTCCTTATAGGACGAAACTGCAGTAACATTAGTTACGAATAAAAGTGGTAAAGAAACGTACAAAGTTTCATTTCATTTCGATATAGATTATTTTAATATTATAATTTGTTAGCAAAAAACTCTAAAACAATAAAACAACTGAGTCTTCATAAAATCATAATCATTTATTTGTAATGAAATATCTCTATAGAATAATAAAATTTTTCAACATCAAGTCGCTATATAGGTAACTATTTACAAAAGTTTTTCTAGAACAAAAATGTACACAGTCGATTCCACAACCGACCAACAGACCATCAAATGACCCATTGGAAGTTGTGTTTCCAACTCTAAATTCTTCTGTACACAATTATATACTAAAAAAATCACAGAATGCAAACTCACAAATAATTAAATTATTACAAAATAATCTGTGATATTGGCAAAGCATCAAAATTCCTGAAATTTTGAAACCCGTACCAAAAGAAAACTACGATGAGATTGTTATCGACCCGACTATCTTTTCTTATGTACAAAACAATAAAATAAAATCTAAATAACAAATTGCAACATAACAGGTACATCACTAGTGCTCTTCTCTTTTACGCGGCTTCCACACAAAGTCCTCAGACATTCGTTAGGTCACTCCTTTCTAATATAAATAAATGATATTCAGTCGTCCCCTGGAACCTCGCTTGCACCTTTCCTCGAGATAATTTCCAAGGGAATTGGAATGAGATGAACATGATGATGAGAACGATCATTTGAATTTCAGCAAGAGATCTGCCTGTCTGATGCCGTAAGAGCTTCAGCCGTCTGTAACAAGAAGAAAAATATCATGAGTAAAACGCATTGCACATCTGTTGCAGGATTCAATAGATATTTCACTCGGCAAGTTGCAGCTATAATAACGGGTTATTCATTGGAAATCGTAGCAGAGCTTGCACGTGTTCAAAGCATCGCCCCCTCACAGACATCTTCTTATTTCTTGAACACACATTCGAACCGAGAATAACGCGATTAAAAATATAGAGGTACAGCTGTTAAATCTGCCGCATATAGGGGCAGTTATTCTGGTACTAAATTAATTAGAACCCCAGAACATGTGATATTCCAGACAGCTGACCTTTTAATTTAACAGGGACATGTGTTGCCGTTGGGCAATTGATAAGAAAGTCTGCTCTGGGGAGAATTTTGCCTCAATACGTCCATTATTTCTCGGATCAATGAGACGAGTGTTCCCAAGAAAGGAGTCACACGTGTTCAATACATCTGCATGTATAACCGTCGTCATCCCTGTCCCAGGTGTCTGTTCAGTCTATCCCGGATGCTAGGGTCGCCAATGAATTTTTATCAATTTGACATGTAACTTATTGTGTTTCCAAACAATGGGCCGCGTTAAATGTAAAAATCACACCTGCCTCGATGACAATGGCGAAACGTTCGTAATGGGAAACATTTTTATGCAACTGGGACATTGGCACTTTGAAACTAAACTGTGAAATACCGCTCGCTTGACCCCGATGCTCGACTTTGCGTGTATTGGGCAAGTTTCAAGGTAGAAGCTGACGATTCTAATTGGTATTTTTTGTTTGGCAACCTTGTTGACGAAAACAAGCCATAAAAATGATTATTTTGCTTGTTGTTAGTCAGCGAAACGACATTGAGGATGTGACTTTTGTATACATTGCAAAACAAACTCGATACTCAAACAAAGTTTACAGTTGGTGAAATCGATTCTTTTCTAGATAAAAATTTGTCCAATTGTTATTTCACAGCTCAGACAGTTACTTTAACATTGTGAATTTTGGGGCGAATACCCTAAGAAAATCATCATTTCGACTTACCGTGATATTTTGCAGAATTGGCGCTTCGCAGGGGGTGAGTATCGTATTCGGACTGGGCCTCACTCCTAAGGGCTGTCGAGGACTCGCCGCTGCTTGCGATTTTTTCTGGCTAAGGGCCGAAGCTGCGTCGAAAGCGTTAACTGCTGGGTGCGTTTCCAAAGCACTCTGAAGATCACAAATATAATCGATGACATACTGAATAACCTCCAATTTGGAGAGTTTCTTATTTTTCGGCATGAACGGAACCAAATCCTTCAGCTTGCTGAGATACATCTGTATCTCCTCGTTCTCGATATCCTTGCGTTTTGTCACTTTTCCGTTGATTGATGCAACACTGTTTTCGGAGCACACTGCACTTACGACGGCCTTCATGTTTGCAAAGTTGGCACTGAACTGAACTTCACACGAAATACAAAAAGCAACCGCACTAAATCTAATCTAGTAAGGGTCTGAGCGACTCGGCCGGCGCGCTGGAGTTTTATAGCCTGGGAGGGGAGACATTGGCCAATTGAGGTGGCCTGTGTGTTCTTGGAAGGCGTGGTTAGATTCTTGCGCTCACAGGTAACGCAGAGGCGCCTAGTTTAGCACGACGCAATCCTTCCTGCCAATCAAGAAGGCGCCGTTTCTGCATTTCCGCTAACTAGACAAAATGTTTTGATGTGGAATACATCCAATTTATTTTGCTCGATAAAATGACGGTTCATCTTCATTGTGGCTTTTTTTATTTGTCTTTGACTATATATTACAGCTGATAGATTAATTTTTGTGTAAAAAAGTAGTTCTTGAGGAGCGAGTTATCGGAATTTGATATGAAACAGCAATCGAAATGCCAAAATGAAACCAATTGTTACCCACTCTAGTTTTCGATAATGCATATTTCTCTACTTCCTCCAAAGTTAATTAATATTGAGAAATGCATTCGACGAGTTTGAAAAATTGTTTATATTTTGTCAAATTTTTCGAAATGACTCACTATTTCATATAATTCTAATTGTTGAAGTGAAATTATATTTTATCATCCTCATCAGGAACAATTTTTCATTTATCCTAGAAAACTTTACAATTGTTTGTATATTTTTTGTTCCTGCATAAACAGGTTACTGAACAAAGTTTGATAAACCTCTGCAAATACTCAGGGCGAGAGTAATAGTGATATTATATTTTAGAAAATTTTTGAAATTGGATTTCATTTGAAAATGTACATCTAAATATCAATGACACACATATATTTGAGAATAAAACGGATAGTCTGTACAATAGGAATCACACGTTAAAAGGTAAGATCTCGTTAGTCCTTAGCTCGCACAAGTTTCGACTTCTGAGGGTTGTCGTTCGTAGGGGTTAACGGTTAACGGAAAAACATATTTTGAACATATTTTTGAACATAAAAAATAATTATTTAATGGTTTAAGATACGTATATACTAAATTGAAATTTATACAGGATGACAATCTTTTTTATGAAAGAAAATGGTGCTCTTGATATGTTTACAGGTAAGTAAATACTCTATTACAAAAATTGTTTAGAAAAATTACATACAAACTACTCATACATTCTCTTTGAAAATACTTTATTTACAGTAGGTATATTGGTGTTTAAGTGTTTACTCACCTGGCTGAACTGAAATTTTCCTTTTTGACATTGCTCCTAATATAAAGTTCTTCATTAGGAACAATATGTAAGGTAGAAAAATATGAAATTTCAAAACTATTTGAATTTTTTGTCAGTCAACATTTGGAAAACTTTTATTACATGTTTATTTGTAACGTGTTAGGAATCGCACCTTAAAAGGTAAGTCCCCGTTAGTCCTTGGCTCGCACAAGTTTCGACTTTTGAGAGTTGTCGTTCGTAGGAGGGCGACAGCTAGTTGACGGAAAAACAGATTTTTTCAACAGAATTACATTTTGGAAAATATACTTGAACAGAATAATTTTGAGATTAATCTACTTTTGAAGTTCTCTCAGTGTCAATTTAACTAACACAGCATCAATGAACGCATATTGTAGAATACAGAAATACTAAAAAAATTGATCAGCAAACGTGCGTTATGATTGAATTATTTGTTTCACATTTGTTGCGTAACTTTTCGTGCCCTCTACAATAAAACGAAACAAAACTTGTAAAAGGTCCACATTTATATGCCTACCTAAATTGAAGAATGCTAGAAAAATTGAAAACTCTGTAACTGAAGTGTCTTTTTGAATTTGAGGTATAGGTACACATTATTTTTCGAATATAAGACTGAGATTACAAACAGAAATAACCTTTTTCGTTAACCATTCGCAATCATCGAAAAAAATATGTATGAAAATTCAGTAAGGAAATATCAATAAAAACAAACTTGAAATTTCCAAGAAAATATTGGTGGTATGGACTATACAATGAATAATTCAAGAATCCTGTTAACTGTATTTTAAACTATCATTAAATATTATTTTAATGAATATATTTTTCAGTATCTATAGATTTATTGCAGATACTTAGGGCTTATCTATAAAACATACTGATGTTTCGGACCTAATGGTACTCCTAGTTTTCGCTAGTTCAATATCAACAGTTTGTATAATGAATACCTAATATGCTTCATTTTCAAATAGCCTCGAACCATAAATAGTCACCGTTAAACAAAGCAAAGTTATGAAGTGATTACTATAATCGTTAGTTCATTAGTGGATTTAAAACAATTTATGCAAATTGTCTCGTATTTCATTATGCAAGAATTCTTCGTGTTTTTCTAACAGAAAACGGTGAAATGCCTCAATGTATATTTACAGTTTTAGAAAATATTGATGATAATAATAGCGGGTATGTGAAAAGAGAAAATCTGTTACAAAAAAACGAGACCACTTCCTGTGATGTAATTAAATCCTGCCACTTTTTCAAAATGAAACTTCGAAGGTCTGAGTTGAGATTAATTTTGATTCCATTCAGAGAGATCTGGATAATAATCTTTCGCTGAATAGTTCGGCAATCAAAAATTCAAAGTTTGAGGTGAGGCCTAAAGATTTCAAAAGCCTGACTAACACTTTATTCGTCATCTTTCTACAGCCCATTTGACGGTGCAATGGCGAAATGAAAACCGTTTTTGAAAATTTGAAGAACTATACCAGAAATAAGTAAAAAACTATAATAACGAATTTTTCTTCGTATATTAAAGAATGAAAAGACTAGCTCAAAGCATCCAATATCATAGTGATGTGTTATTCAACTCTCTATGAGTCATTTAAAATACCTGATTCTGTGAATAGATCAGTACGGGTTTTCAGCTTTCATTAAAATCTTGCAAAGAATAATTTCAAACACCAATGAATTCTATAAAAGGTGTATTGAATTTTGAGAAGCTTCAACAAACATTTAGTCGTATTAAAAAAATTATGGATTATTTTCCGACAGACGCGTTTATAAACTCCACATTTGGTGGCGGCGCCGGGATGAGTGATATGGAAATAACAGTTTTTGAATACTTCTTAAATAAATAAAACAAATAAAATCCATTTATTGGATTAATACATCGACTAGCAAAAGAAGAAGTGGATGAATTGATTTTTCGTTGAAAAGGAGGTAACTGTGGAGTAAAAAAAATCTGAAGTGATTGGGATTCGAAATGAAGGTGAAGAGGATAAATGTGACCTCCAAGGGAAATTAAGCGATTGTATGGCATACGAGAAGTATGCGATTTTGAATCTAGAGTAAAAAAAAAAACAGCGTAGGCCAGAGCAAATAAAATTTCACTAATTGTTTAATAGAATTTTGCATTGAAATTGTCGAAGCTCTATGTCCACGTGAAAACCATAAAGCCTCAACTCTCGAAAGTCAGTTTTCATGATTCTTTCTAGCTAATATATGGATAAACAACATTTGAACCAAGTCAATCAAACTCAACTCAAAAGGCAAATACGAAAGTCCAAAAGTCCTTCATTCATGAATTGAAAGACCTTGCGATGTAATGAGTTCAGGACTTAAAATAATCCCAAACTCTCAGAGCAACCGAGTTTATTTCAGATTCAATAAATGTGTTTCGTGAAATACAAATTTTGTTACATTAGCTATGCGGTCCCGTTCATGAAAAAAGCACTCGGACAGAAGTCTTATGAATTTGTTGCCCGAAAACTTTATTATGATATACCCAAGGAACTGAACATGTCTTCAAAAAAAGATTGAAATATTACATCATCGCAAACACACGCAATATTTTCACTAATTTGCTAGATAATGAATGAGTTTCCCCTCCCTCTCGCAAATAGTAATATTAACCTTCAAGATAATTTCACAAATCGACAACATGTTCATTGCTCCACCTTTTCTTTTATCATAACTGTGTTATATTATTACAGTTAATTTCCATCCTACCTATTAACAATTGAATTTTTAATTACTTTATTACTGTATTTATTTACTGATAATGCATTCTTGAATTCGAAACAAGTGTTCAATCGAGATTACTTTATTCACATAATAATTTGCCTTAGTTTCATATTGTACTTTGTATTGAATGGTTTTATTGTATTGTTGGAGACGAATATTTGTGAATAAACTACTACTGTCTGTAGATTCTGCCAAATTTAATTATCTCCAGTGATACAAACTAAGTTAAGACTGCAGTTACCCAATAGCAAGGATGTTGTCATCTACATCCGTGTTAGGAATCACACGTCAAAAGGTAAGACCTCGTTAAGCTCGCATAAGTTTCGACTTCTGAGGGTTGTCGTTCGTAGGGATGCGACAGCTGGTTAACGGAAAAACAGATTTTTCTTAAACAGAGAAAAATATATTGATCTCATTATAAGTAAATTCATTTTCTGATAACAGTGATGAAGAAAATAATACAAATCGTGAAGTTATGAAACAACAACAAAAATTAATTGGCGCTCCGGGGAGACTTTATTGTTTTCAGTGGCGCATTTGCTTTTTCAGCTGCAGAAAACCCGGAAAAACCTGCAGCACCATATCATATGAAGATCCTGATCTGCCAATGTCCTCTCTTTCATAAAACAAAATATAGGGTGTCTTCAGAGGCTTGAACAAATTCAAGACTTCGCCAGAACACTTAGAGACATGACTGTCGTCAAACTTCAACCAGTCCATTTCGTCTTTGACTAATGCATAATAATGACCAGATTCAACGCCAGAACCATAGTGAACAATTACTGCATGAAGGTTAAAATAGTGGTCTGCTAGATTGAAGTGTTCATCTATTTCGAACCTTCGTAAGAATTTGGTGCTTTCGTCAGCGGTTGAGTCATGTTTAAAGATCATCAGTTTCATTATTAGATTGAATAATTCCTCAGCTTTACTTATTTTCTTATAATAGTCAGTTAGTTTGGCGCATGTTTGGCAATACAGTTGATTATCACCCGTTAAAGGTTTTATTTCCAGATGATTTAACAATAAGCTCTGCACGGACTGGTTATCAGTCATAATAGGAAACGCTAGTTGAAGTTCCAGAAATTTTCATGAGTT